CTTGTGAAAACACTCGTGGTAGCCAATAGCAAGCGTTCCCAGAATTCAACCCACAGGATATAAAATTTCGTAACAAAATAACCATTTCAACGACTTCCGACGTCATGATTAAACGTGCCCAGATGAATAAAAGGCCTAAAAAGCTGCCGGCATTGTAAAATTTGAAGAATTTCAAGTGGTCAATAAATCATTGTTGTCAACTAACACACCATGATCTAGCAAAGTTAACTGGTAAAATTACTTTATGTGAGTTCATTCGAGGTATAGGACAGAGATTTTGCTGTCAAAACAACTTTCACTTTCATGAATGCAGCATTATATTCACCAAGCTATCAGAAGAATGCATTTTAGCCAATCAGAATAATGCACCGTGTGTTTAAATTATTCACTTTTTGCTTTGCGATCAAGGTCAGGGTGATACAATGCGTGGAGTTTGTGGAAAATCGATTTTTCATCGATTTATTCTCGAAATCAAATCCACACGTCAAAATTCCTGTCTCGCGAGTCATGCATTTTATTTGCCGGGTTATTTATTACGCATTTGCGATGAGATTTAAAAAAGATTATTTAGATAATAATTCTGTTTATTTTAAATTAAAACACTCCTGGATCCCAGACAAGAACCCCAGGGAATTATGGAGTTTTCAGGCAACTTCTTGTAACCAGGGGCTTACTTTTAACTAACCATTTTGTGATGAAGGCCTTGAAAACATCTCCTGGACAGTGTCTGTCAAGATGTGTTGTTTTGCAAGACAGAAATAATTTTTTTGCGCGATTTAAATTAACAAACCCTGCCTGCAGGCTGATGGTCCATCAAGATACTCCAGTCAACGCACTAATGCGTTTCGGTTCCATCAAGCCTACCTCCTGCGTATCACTTAAATTGATTTACAAAAGCCTACTTTTTTGATGTAAGTTTACTATTGTTTGTGGGCCCCGATGCGGTTTGGGAAACCACACCAGGTCTGGCGATTTACACTGGCACGGCCCGACCGAAAAAAAAGCAGAAAATGATGATGGCGCGTAGCTCAACCAATTTATTATAGCAGTAGCGGAGTGTGTGTGTACAGGATAACGAGTGCGTTTATATTGGCTTCGCTAAGCATCGGTCCCTGAACGGGCAGAGTTACGTGAAGTGCCTTCACGAAAATCGATTGAATTGTGTTCGCTCACGACTCCTAACTGTGCTGATTTGCTGATTCGGTGATCTGCGGGCGAGATTACACTAAGCTCTCGAGCTAAAAATCGTATCATAAACACAAATATTTCGACGTCTTTTGAGGTTTTGAAAGGAACGGAAGCTAGATTTCAGAACACCGGAAGACAAGTCTGCGTGGATTACATCACCTCTCAGGACACCGTAGTTTATGATGGCAACTGCTAAACAGCACATTCGATGGCGCTGCATTTGACACGAATTCCAACAACGTTAGAAGTTGGGATTTCAATCTTAGTAACCAACCGCGCCCCTAACAGCCTCCAGAGTTTGAAGATGCCGAATCGATTAACTAAAATGCATCGCACATCTAGCCCGCCATTGAAATTTACCCTCTGGAGGTCAACTCAAGGTCAGGTCAGATGCACAAAGGAGGCAAATTTTGGTAAAGAGTGACAGATATCCTGCCGAGACAAGTGAACTGACTTCGATCGTAGTCACCAGCCGCGCCTTTAGACAGCCTCAAAAAACTTCGAAGACGCGGAATTGCAAGCTCTACTGGATGAAAGCTCACAGCAAGCGTAACAAGAGCTTGCAGGAGCTAAGTTGGGAGTTACCTGAGCAGCTATTTCCAAGTGTGTGCACCACCAAATTGAAATAAATCAGAAGCCTGGAAGTTGGGTTCCCCGCATGTGTTGACCGAACATAATCTAGGTCAACGCATGAACACCTGCCTTTCACTGCTTGCTCGGCAGCAAGTAGTGAATGGACTTCCTGTGGAAAATTGCGACCGAGGATGCAAAATATACCCCAATGTTTTGAGGTGAATCCCAGGCAACCTAGTACATCGACGCCGAAACAGGATTTCCACTTGAAGAAGGTTCACCTGTGTGTCTTTGGGGGGGGGGACATGAAGGGTGAACTGTGTCACAGACACCTGGAAACTGGCCAGACAGTGACTGCGGAAGGCTGCAGCCAACAATTGGACAAACTGAACTAAGGACTTAATCAGAAAAGGCCTTCTACAGGGTGTGGCCAAGGAGCAAGTCACACTGCTGCTGAAAGTCACCTCAAATTGCTCTCGCGACGCAGAAGACCCTCTTGAACTTGGCATGGGAAGTTCTCCCACGCGCGGCACATTCACGAGATTTGGTCCATCCGACTATTGTTTGCTTCGGTCAATGCGGCAGCACGCCTTAGTGGATAACCAGTTCAAAAGTCTGGACGACGTATGTTAATTCGTCGATGACTTGCTCGCCTCGAAATTTGCAAGTTTTTTTTGACAATTTTATATATTTTTTACATCAAGTAAATTTGCCGGAAAATCCGCACAAATTAAGTCATACACTTAGTACTTAGAAACGGCAGGAACATCAAACGCCTCAAGTGTTTTTCTACTTCCCACTCCAATGCTACAATCTCATCTCGCTGCCAGTGTGTTTTTTGAAACCGAATTGACTGCTTCGAGGAAGGAGCTGATATTAGAAACGTGGGTATGTTGAAACACCAAATTAGGTGACATGATTGATGTTGGTACCCGCGGCACTCAACCACACAGAGTGTGCCAAGAAGAGGAGTCATGCCAGTGGCACCGGGGTGAAGCTGTGTGTGGCTTGCTGTGTTGAGGGCTTCGGTGGACCCCCGTTCTGCCGAGTCATCACGGCAATTGGTCACGTGTTTGGCGTCAGCCCAACCGCGCATCCACTGGCAAACCGTTGAGAATATGGGGGTTTATGAGCACAGAGTAGGGAATTTCCAAGTATGACGCATGATTTCGCATTCTAGACAGAACCGTCAACCGTGTGAGTGACAAGGCCAGCAACCCAGACTGTGAAACACTGCTGCCAGGCGTAAAATGACGAGCTGATAAACTGGCGGCTTTAGACGGGATTTAGCTCCGCAGATAAGGCGATTAATCTGGTATTTTTTTACTAAATATCTAACCCTGTTTTGCTTGAGACAAATTCTCGACTTGTGGGAGCAATTCAAAAAGGTTGAATTGACAGACGGGTCCTTATTTGTCCACGACACGGTATACAATTGTTGTAGCCTACAAATGGGCACGGAGAATTCGGATATTGTTCGATTTCAGATATGAAAAATAAGCACAATCGAATTGTCATTTGAAGTTTGTGAATTTGCTTGTCTAAAAAAATTTCTAACAAATGAACACCGCTTGACAAATCTGACCTTTTAACCTACATTTACATTTTTTGTCTAGTGACCTGACCTTGATTTTCAGAGAGTGAATATATCTGGATTATTATTGGACTGTTTGAAAAGGAAGATTGTCGGAAGAAAGAAAACGCAGCGATTCTATTGGCTAACAAGGTATTTACTTTGGTTTTGAAGTGCACAAAATTTGATGCAAAGTGACTAAATCTCTGATAGCAATCATTTTATCAAAAAAAGTTTAGTAAACACTGAAGTAGGTGACAATCTGATGATCTAATATGTGGATATCGATAATTTCAGTATCGATTTGTTTGAAAGTAAACATATGAACCGATCAATCATTAAAGTGAATTACGATTTTATGGCGTCACAGGCGTATTTCCAAACAGTCAGATATTTGCGTTTAGTGAAGGTGTTGTAGATACTTAACCAAGTTTTACACAATAATTCTACAGTGAAAAGCGGATAGGGGATACGGTGGGCACTACCGCATGATTCCCATTTCAGCCATCGACGTCGTTACCGTGTCTAACGAGCTACGAGTGGTCTGATGTTGTCGTGGTGAAAGATGGTGTCTTTATGATGCGCCAAATCTGAACGTCATGGTTGGATTTCAACATCAACATTACGTCCATGGGTTTAGCATCTAATTCTTATTTGCCGTCTTCTTAAACGACTTAATCCAAGAATCGATTGAGTTGTTGACTGGCAAGGAGAGAAGTATCGCTCTTGCGTTTGATCAAAACGTGTGGAGCCCTCACATCGAGTCTGGAAGTCCATCCAATTTGCTTTAAATGGTGGAGCGCAGTCGAATTGTCAACATGCTATCTCTAAGCCGCCTCTGTGGTGGTAATCCGTGGATAATTTATTCACAGGTTCGGCTAGATTTAGGTTGACTGACCTACGCTTACCAACTCAGAGAGATGGGGCAATATGCGTCATGAATATTTGCTGCTGCAGTTCCACTTTGACTATGTATTCAGCACACAACTTAGTCGAATAAAATTTCGTTTGAAAACGGTTTTCTACTCATTACACGTGAAGGATAATTGCTAATATGATTATACAAGGAAAATCAACACAGTGCAAGGTGTGTGCTGTTGATCAAGCAAGAACATTTATAGAGGCAAAACAGCCATTTCTCCTCCAATATTGTCGAATCCCGTGTCGCATTGTTCCTTCGAACATTTTCCGATAAATCGGTCCAAATTATTTAACCATCAAATTCACCAAGTGGATTATTTTCGTCTAATGAACGCTTTTTGCGCACTTAAATCGTTTAAGAGGAACCACATCAACCACCTGAGCCGCGTGGACGCTTGTGGATGTCGTAAAACAGACAAGCGAAGGTGCGTCTGAAGACTCAAACGGAGGCGTTTGTTTACGTCCGGCTTGATTTTTTACCGGCTTGACGTGATGACGTGCCTTTTTTGGCTGCCCCAAGGTCAGTTTATCAAACCGTGCCGCATATAATTTTTTTGTTACTTCGCAACCATGACTGGTGTAAATTTGGCCAGCATCGCAGTCCAACAAAACCGTATAAATGTACGCCTCGACTTGGTACCTGGAACATCGTTGTACACAGAGCATTTGTCGAAAAAAACTATCCTGAACAATGACTGTCACTTAAACGGCTTCCTACAAACATCTACCGGTGACAAGAAGGACTTCAATGAACACAACAATTGGCGGACTTACAGTACTTCAGCTGCTCCTCGATTGGTCGCTTGGTTCGACGTACTTCGACTTCGACCATGGGACAATTTCTATCTTCATTGTCGGTCAGTTCAATGACAAACTCCAGGTCCATGCCAGTGACCTTTGAGGAGAAGTCGGTAGCGGAGGAGTGACGCGCGGACCCGCGTTTCCCTGTCGCGTCGGGCGTCTGTGGTGGGAGGAACACTTCCATGCTGGTGCCTGCTTCTTCACCTCGTGTCTAAGGCGTTGCAGTCATAAAAAGCCTCGGCAGCACGCCTGCGCACGCACACACTCGACGTGTTGAGTGAAGTAATGCCCCAGTCGAGGGCGCGCGTGCACATGTGCTGGTGCGTGTGTGCGCGCGTGAGCAACTGATACGGTGGCACACACAAGTGAAAGCGAACGCGCGCACCCGCGTGACCTTAAACGCTCCAATGGCATGCGTCCGGCGGGCTTTTGATAAGCAAACAACGGTCAAACGGCCACCATGTGGCAGGCGTGCTGGGCCAATTCTGAGAAAAGCTGACCAGACAAGGGCGTGATTGGCCATGGCATCGAAGTGGCTTCTTCTGCATCCGTTGAAACCGAGGGATCACCTGAACCTTCACGAACTATGGACGATGCTCCCCAACCATCTACCTCGTTAGTAAGCCACTGAAGAGGGTATCCCATAGAATGTGAGGGAGTCACGTGACGTTATCCGTTATTTCACCTACTTTCAATTGTGCTCAGTTTGAACGTGCTTAATGACGACTTGTCATGCCAATGTTATTTCTAATTTAGTTGGTTTTAACACGTTCAACTAGTGGAAAAATCCACGGTGCATTTGATTTGTAAAGAAGTGGTTCAAGATTGTGTGGGCAGCGATCTCCAAGTGCTAGCTTGAGGCTCAAGTCTATTAGTTTTGTTTTTAGTAGTTTATTTCAAGCACAATTTTGGCAAAACCAATAATAAGATGTCAATCATGTGTGAATTTCCAAAAATTTTTGCGAAACTTCCTCCAACCTTTCCAGCAACTTGCTAATTCCATTTTATGAGGCGATTCAGGGGAATTTCATCGCTGTCTACTCGATTTCGTTGCGTTGATTGGTTATTAGTGTTGCTTGATGGTGCAATATGATTGGTTCGTGTCTAGCCCGCCAACTCCAAATTTGCATTTCTGCTTTTCAGTCACAGCAATCAATGGGGTTGTTTTCGGCGTCGATCACCGACATCCTCTCCAATGACAATGAACTATTTCTGCTTAGGCAAGACGATCAAAAGATTTTAGACGACGAGGCGAACAGTGCTCCATTCCAGCTAGCAGGTGCTGACCAAATCGAAAGAGTTCTTATTCATTTCTTATTGGCTCAGTCTCAACACGCGTGTTAGTAGAGGCTTTGCGATGCGAAATCTCATTATCGAAACTGTTGATGAAGTCGCTAGCAATCCACACCGTTGGCGAATGTCACTACAAGCTGCAGACGTGGTAATCCGTTGGGAAAGTGGTCGATTATTTGTAAGATGTTCTCCATGAAGCAGTGCAGCTGCCTTTATTGGGTGTTTGATTTAATGCGAGCATTTCGTTGACACCTCAGACCTACGGCACACGAAATCGTCGTCTTGGGAGGATGCAGATCATGCTTGAGTCTCCCGCTCCTCAACGCCCACTCACACCTTCCATTGAATGCCACAGTTCTACGCAGGCATTGTGCAACTGTGCTGTTTGTATTATTAAATGGCACT